CGAACAAAAAATTTCTGAAAAAGCTCAAAAATTGGCTGTGTAACAGTGTCCGCCGTCAACAGCACCCTTAGCGCTAACATCCAAAACTTGGAAGTACACGACAAAAACACTGCGCCAAGAGAGAATAGAGCCCAATCTCCTCAAACAACTAATAGGGAAGCCTCAGTAGTTGCCTCAGATAAATCCTCAGGTAAATTTAACACCTCTACATATTTTTTTATTATCAATTTTCACCGGGTTAAATTTTCCTACTAAGACCTGTTTTCTTTTACCATGTCTCCACCTTCTCTTAGACTTAGAGGTTATAATGGAAGGACCAGAGACGCTCCACCATCCCAGAGAGGATTTCCACCAGAGTCAGTTTTACCGAAGAATAAGGATAAAATAATTTACGCGTCGAAAAAGAAACTAATATCTCCTACTAACAGTGCCCAAGGAGGAGAAATTCGAGCGCTATTACTACAGGATGAAGACCAACAAGGAATGGCTGAAGGATGTGCGCAACCGCAGCAGTTACTCGGCCATCAGAGCTCATCTAAAGTATTGCCGGGAGGATTTCCAAGCGATGATAGATTTAAGAGGAATGACGACGACCCTCAAAAGAACCAAGGGTTGGAACCCATTAAACGTGTCGGCGGAGAGTCTCCTTCAACCACGAGAAGCGCCGGACCTTCAAGAAGGATCAATGAGACCCCTGAGTCGCAGAGGGAGGAATACCCATTCAAGACACCCAAGGAATACGGGGAGGAACACTCAATGGCGCAGCCAAATCTACGAAGAGATGGTACGCCTTGGGAGATCTCTTCAAGGGACTTATCAACACTTGGAGAAAGGCAAAATCAACCGCCAACACCGCTTCATGGAAGAGGAGCCTTAAATATTTCCCCTACACCTGCGCGTGAAAAAATTCCTGATAGTTCTGATAGTGATTCTACTAGTAGGAAATCAAAATTGTTGTCTAGTGATTACTCTACGCCTCAAGTTCCCCATGAACATATCCCAATAGAAATTTCTCTACGCAGAGCTGTTAATATGTTTACTGAGAACATGAATTTTTTAGTACAACATACCTTAAGAAATAACAGAAAAATTACTACTGATATGAAGAAATTGTGCCGTAAAATTGAGGGCAGCTGGGATAAAAGAGCTGATGAAGAAGATAATAATTTTACTTACATCAGAGATAAAGTTATGATCATGGAAACTGGTCTTGAATTATTACATAAAGAAATGCCAGAAATGCTTGAGAAATTAGGAGATCAAACCACTCGAGTAATAACCAGAGTAGAAGAAAAATGGGAAGATATACAAAATAATAACAAAGAAATGATCCATAAATTCAATACTATGGAACAATCTTTCCAGAAACTACAAAAAGACACGCTTGAAAAAATTAATTCACAATATAAAAGCTTTGAAGATGTTGTAAACAGGATAGAATTAAATAATTTAAATAACAATAAAAATAATTCCGCCTGCATCATCAAATTAGAGAATAAAATTGAAGAATTAATTAAAATTAACCAAGAGCCTAACAGTTGCCAGAATTTAACATCTCAACACACTGTTCACGGCAAAGGAAAGGACATACCACCTCATGTAAATTCATCAATTACCATACCAGATAAAATAAGTACAAATCCTTTCTTTAATTTATCAAACACGCAATCCAGTAATATGATTTTCAGTGACCCTAAAATTAACACCCCAGTTAGATCAATTAACACTGAAGTACACCATTCACACGTAACTGATGACCAGGATAAAACAATTCAAAAATTAATTTTATCAGGAATGCCAAAAGTTAATGAATGGAGTACCTTTTCAGGGAAGGGAGAGTATGATCACTATAAATTCATAGAATGGATTGATAATCTTAAAGAAGATACCCAAGCACCAGATCCACTTATATGTTCTAAATTGAATTCAATTTTAACTGGAGCAGCTAACACATGGTATAATCAGAGGAAGAAAGAAACTCATGGAGTCAAAGA